CACACCCCAGGCTCACACCCCCAGGCTCACACCCCCAGGATCACACCCCAGGATCACACCCCAGGATCACACCCCAGGATCACACCCCAGGATCACACCCCAGGCTCTCACCCCCAGGCTCCAGGGCGGGCAGATCCACAGGGCCTCAGGGTCCCTGCGCTACTGCTCTTACCGCTCTTGCCTGTGCCTTGTCCACGTGTCCATGCTGTGGCGTGGTCAGGAGAGCCTCTGGGAATTGCCGACCAGGTTTGGGAAAGCATATCCGTTCCCTCCATTCTGGAACCCTAGGTCAGCACCCTGGAGCCGCCGGTGGCCCGTGTCAGGACCGGGGGCCCTGGCAGCCAGCCCCAGGGTGCAGCGCAGGCTCCTCCACACACAGCCTCGGCTTGACTCGCCTGCTCGTGCCTTCCAGAGATGTGGAATACAAGGAGCTCCAGCTGTCTGTGGACCAGGTGTCCACCTGTAAGTCTCAGGACTCCTGGAGAACCCCCGTGTCTACCTCACACGAGACCAGAAAGCCAGCGAAACCCAAAAGCTCGAAGATGAAGACGAAGCTCAGAATAAGCCCATACCCCACACAGGTAAGTCTCGGGCGCGCGCACTCACATGCACGGGCGGAGTGGCATCTCCCTAGGGGCTCAGGGCACCGGCCGTGAACTGTGAACAGCTGTTCAGTGGCAAGAAAAATCCCACAAACATCTGTAGGATGATAGGTGTACACGACCAGGTTTGGCTTTGGGCACCACCAAATGGAAACGGCCCCTCTCACAGTGAGCTCTGGGAAGTGGCATGTGTCCACAGCTTCCAGTGTGTGCTCAGCTTGGAGTGCAAGCTCTTTCCACTCAGGACCTCTGGGTGACACGGGGTCAGGCAGCCCAGCCTGGGGCAGGGAGCAGGCCCTGCCCTGCGGGACGAGAAGGGGCCTCCCCGCCCGGTGGCCTCTCACTTGTCCCCTTGCCATGCAGCAGTACGGCTCATTCCAGATGGACAGACTGGAGTGTGGCCAAGTGGGGACCTGGAGAGGCAGCCCCCCCCCAAGTTCGGGACCTCCGGAGCAGCACCTCCACGCGGACGGCGGTGACCTCTTGTACGGGCCTCCCTACGGCCTCCCGTTCTCCTACCACTATGGACACTTCCCTCTGGACCCCCCCGTCTTCAGCAGCAAGAAGCCAGGACTGCCCACCAAGTTCGGGCAGCCCCAAGGACCCCCGTGTGAGGTGGCACGCTTTTTCCTGAGCACGCTGCCAGCCAGCAGCGAGTGCCAGTGGCGTTACGCCAACCCCCTCGTGCCCAGCAGCCCATCGCCAGCGAAAAGCCTTTCCGAGCCTCTTGTGAGTGCCGGCCGGCATGGACATGTGCCAAACTATGAAGGTGGGTTCTATTTGCATGAGGGGGAGGGGAGGGGTTTAGCATCCGAGGCAGTGGATGGAAAGAATCCTGGAACTTTGGGCAAATTGGCCTTTTCTGCTTCTGAGCAGGATTTCCATGCCTCCTGCTGCCAGTCACGGCTTCATGGGAGCGGGACTGGGTTTCAATCTCAGGAACACAGGAGATGGCATAAAGAGGAGAGGGAAGTCGAGTGCCCAGACCCCAATTAACCCCTGGCCTTATTCATGCCCACACAGGGAGACAAAAGTGATCTCCAAACCCACTGCCATGTTGGCCAATTCTCCAGCTGCATCGTCTTCTCACTGTACCCCAGAGTGAGTGAGGGAGACAGTAGTTCTGGCCCGGACCAGTTTCAAACCACAGGAAACAAGAGCAGAAGGTCCTGGCCTCGGGGCAGAGACCGTGAACAGGGAGCAGTTAGCATTGTTCTTCAAGCCTCGGCCTTTCTCTCTGTGAGACGGGCCCACAGCCTACTGGGCGCACTCCAGGCGCTCCCACTCAGGCTCTTAACTTGTGTTAGCTAGTGAATGGCGATGGACAGTGAATGCCACGACAGGGCACACCTGAGACTTCCGCTTGTCACTAGCCAGTCATGGGCAGAAGAGGACAGTGTGGCCTGGGGCGAGCTGTAAGCCAGTGCTGCCCAGACCAGTGACTCCGCAGAGCCCCGAGCAAGTTAGGCAGATGGTGCAAGGACCCCTAAAGCGAGGATAGAGCCACAGCAGGGTGCTCTGCCGGAGGAAACCTGCCCTTGGCATCAAGCAGGCCCCAGAAGCGTGCCCCGCACTCCTGTCTCTCCTCTCCTCCGCTTGCACCCTCACCTGTCTCTCCCGCTTTGCTTTGTGCGCAAACTCCAAGGCTCTGACTCCACATGTGACCACTCTACATTTCACGGCCAGGTCTGAGCAGAGGGACAATTACGGGGGAAACCGGGCCTCTGTGGACGTCAGGGGTACATGATTTTCAAAAGCACGCGATTTGGAAGAGAGCACACCAGCCCCTCTGCCTCGGGCCCAGCCTTCCCCGGCAGCCTTGGGGTGGCCGGGTCCCCGGCCGTCTGTGCAAGGCTGCCTCACAACCAAGGAAGAGTGTGAAGGGCCTGTAGGCATCGGGGACAGATGACTTCTCGGTATCTGAACACTGGCTAATGACAGAACACACAGAGTTGGACTTTCATTGCCATCTTAAAGCGGGAGTGGTGGCAGCATTTGCCTGTCACTTCTGATCAGGAAGGGGCGGGGAGGCCTGAAGGTGCTAATTTGAGGCAATTTGCGACCAACTTCCTAGTCTTGGGTATTAAGAAAACAAGGGCGTCGTGGGAAAGCTCAGGGCACTTACTGAATGGGCATGGTTAATACTTTTAACTATGGACCTACTAAACAGCACGCCCCCCCCCCCCCCACACACACACGGAGGCACTGTGAAGAGGACCCGGCTTAGTGGCTACTCCCCTGCTGTCCAACAAGGGGTCCATTTGCCCCGCGTGGCTTTGGAGCAGCTTTTAATACCCACGACACGCTGGAGCATGTGGCTCTGTTACAGCGACCTGTTGCTCACGGTGACTCCCACAAGGGGTCCAGCGCGTTGCCAACAGCGTCTGGGGTGCGCAGGGGTGGCACGGATGGAGGGGGCCGGAGAGCGAGTGTGGCTGTGTGTGATGCGGGACCCCGGGGCGCCGTGCACGAGGGGGAAGGGCCTCGTGGCTCTGCACGGCTGAGGGCGCGTGTGCGGTCGTCCGGGGCACCCCTCTAACCTGTCGCTTGTGCCCCGCAGCGCCCAGGTTCGGCGACGACCCGGCCGCGCCCAGCTTCCCGAGCTGCGGCCACTACCGCGAGGAGCCGGCGCCGGGCCCCGCCAGGGCGGCGCGCCAGGCGCCCCGGGACACAGCCCGGCCGCTGCCCCGGGGGCCCCCCGAGTGCTGCGCGCCCCCCGCGCCCG